GTATAACATAAATAAAAGCCTTAAGCTTTAAGCTCAAGATCAATAATTTGATTAATTAATTGTTTTGGGCATATCTAAATATATATTCTACGTCGCTAATATACAACATATTTTTGATTTATCTATACTTTTCTCTATACGTTTCTAATTCATTATTACTTAAATTGTTTTACTAAAACGTGAAAACAAATTAATTGTCTCCGTTTTCCTTCCAATTTTAATATTTTTTGAAATCAATTGCTTTCCGATTTTTTTTCCCTTTTTTCGGCATGGTCCTTGTCTCAGCATCACCATCACCACCACCGTCAGGAGTAGCACCATCACCATCGCCACCACCACCATCGCCACCATCACCAGTATCACCACCACCACCTGTACCGGTACGGTCTGTTTCCTCGCAATTAGTATAAGCAACGCACGTCCAGCAGCACTCCGGAAACGGTGTTTTTGTGGACACTCCATCGGTACTGCACATCTCAAACGGTGCCGGCTTCTGGCAGCTGTTTTGTGTAAAATTTGGATTTGAGGATTAGATTTGAATGGGATTTGAAGAGCTTATTTGAGAGAAACTTACTAAAGTACTAAAGCATCACCCTCGGTATTTTGGCACACATTCACTCCGCACGTATTTTCATCATTTACAAATTCACCCACTTTTATTTCTCCTCCTCCTCCTCCTCCTCCTTCTCCTCCTCCTCCTCCTCCTCCTCCTGATGAATCCGTTCCTCCTCCTGATGAATCCGTTCCTCCAGGCTCTGCTGGTGGTCCTTGGTCTGGCGCTTTTCCTGTGTCGTCTCTTGCCCTTCGCTCTGACGGTTTTGTCGGGTCTGTCGGGTTTGGTGCGTTTGTCGGGTCTGGCGAGCCAGGCTTTTCTGGTTTGCCTGCTGCTGAAGACTTGGGCTTGCATCCATTGGCTAAGACCCGTTAGATTTTATTGACGACTTGCTTGAATTGGTAGCCCTATACTCTCTTACCTCCCTTGTCCATTTTGGTGTAATAGACCAATGCATTGGCGCACAATGCCAAGCTCAACAGGGTCAACACGTTCAGGCTCAGCTTCATGATGTACTCTCACTTGCCCAACTCAAACTGAATTAGTAGCACCCATAGGAATGCCTTTTATATGCAATTTCGACGCCAACACCGTCCACTTGTGTAACGAAATGTTTTTGCACCTGTTAAGGAAATTCTTACAAAATATTACTGTAACATACCTCCATATAGTTATTCTGCAGAAAATAGCTAATTCTGATATGTAATTAATATACAATTTGATTTCAGCTCATAAACAAAGGAAATCAATTTTTGGCAAAGACACATAAGAAGAAACATTTCTAAAATCGGACATGAGCAACTAAAAGATATCTGTAATAGACTTTGATAAACAACAAAAACAAAGACTAGATCGGTGTCTAATACAGGATAGACAGACTGGACGGTTGGTATATCAGAATATGCCTTACATTTTGTGGTATCTGCCACACCTCTCCCTTCTGCCTGTTACCAACATTTTGAAAA